TGGTCGTGCGGCGCGTCTTTGAGAGACTGCAGTTACGTCACCTCAAAGCAAGCCTGTGTTTGAAGGCAGAGTAATTCTGGGAGGGCACGAGGCAGTCAGCTCCTTGAAAGTTGCTAGCTAGGATCCGCCCAAACTCGCTCTCTGTAAGCTTGTCTGAGCGAAACTTAATGCTTTGGTAGGGTATACAAGCACTCTTAAATAATTTTCAAAAAAAGAACTCGTAGTGTGACTAGTAGTGTTAGAACTTATAATGTTTGCTAGTTAATTTCAGCCCATTGCTGCGGAACGACTGATCCCAGGAGCTATGCCTCAGCAAATAGTTATCCAAACCGCTGATCAGAAACCAGAAATGAACGGAGTGGTGAAGAATGAAGTTCAAGAAGGAACGCCAGCAGTGTTTGAACAGAAAACTGATTCAGGTGAACAGAAAGCTGATACAGGTGAGGAGAACTCTTAGATGACAAACGATTGCACTCTTTTTGCTTATGCGACTGTACACGTGGACTTCGGTGCGAGCATTTTTCGAAGGGGCCACGCTGTAGCGCGGTTGTATCTTCTTGCACCGTACGGACTCTGCTCTTTTGCACTGTGCTAGAACTGGGTGCTGGAGAAGGAAAGAGCACCGACTGGCCTGTCTTCCTTCTCACTAACAATGAGTTAGCACGAGGGCTTACTCTACCATCGAAGTTGAGGAGTGGCGTGAGGGTATTATCCTGAGGTTACACCTTTCAGCAGCGAATCTGGAAACCGAAATTGCTGCCTGAGCCTCACAAGCGAGTTATGGGAGATGCAACGCGTCATATCTGTTGAATGTTTAATACCGAGCCCTTTTTTTGGCCAAACGGTAACTACTGCAGGCAGCGCCCCGACGGCCGCGACCACTTTGGGTCTTTTTACGTGATCCTTTTTCGGACACCACAATGAGAAGCTCCGTCTACTTTGTAGGACTTTCACAAAATATCTCGAAATAGAATTTTATAGGTGAGGTGGAGCTTCTCGTAGAGCTTCTCAAAGTAGGTGGAGCTTCCGCGATGCTACTCGTCGCAGCCCGAAAATATGAGAATTAGGCTGTCGCGGCGTTGCTTGCAGCAGTACTTGTGTGATCTGCTTAATCATCTGCCCAATATGTAGACTGTGTCCAATTTGATTTGAAAACTGTTCGGTTTCGGCTCGAAGAGGTACAGCTTAAATGAAATTTGTATGTATAGTGGATCGATCGGGGAGCGTTTTCTGCATTTAGTGTTGCGCTACATATGGGGGGGGGTGACTTTTTTCACTTGTTCAGTTTTTTTCGACATATTTCGCCTTTTAGAAGAGTGTGGTCCGTCTGGAAGTGCTTCTCATGTTGTATACGGACACCCGAATGGTGATGATGAGCACGAAGAGAAAGCACAGACGTTTGCGGATCCCAGTGGTCATATGGTTCACTTTTTCTGAGTTCTTGTTCATTAGATTGTTGACATTGATTGCTAGTTGCCAGTGTATAGGTCAGATAAGAAGCAGTCATTTTAGCATTATTGCGCTGAGCGTTTGGCCCTTGGAAAGGCTAGGAGCTTACAGAGATCTTTATTGTGGTAAACATAGGGTCAGGTTTGCGCTGACGCAAATGTAATATTCGCTTTTTCTGAGAATAGCATAAATTTTAAAGCTTGAAGCTCGTTGACTCAAGCGACTTACCAGGGCCAAGTTTCTCTGAGCTTCTCCCCCCAAGGATCGATCCTTGTGACTTTGCGTGATTTTTCCTTGACCAGCGTTGATTGATGAATCTGGGATCCATCCCCTCCCAGGAAATAAGGGGGGGGGTGAGGCCCTGATTCGCGCGCTTCCGGCTGTTTCGTGCCGTTTTTCCTTATGTTTTGCAATATTTAAGTCATTTACTCCTATTTTCGTTGAAGAAAAGAAAATGATTGTGCCCACCGCCTTGGATTTGCCTAGAGGTTGATTAGTCCAAGGAAGCCGCGCCCTTTAAGCTTGATCCCGGGCCTTGTCTTTCATTTTTGCGATCATTATCGTGTGCTTATTGGATCATTTTCAAACTGATTTCCTATATTTTTGTGTTTTCCATTTTTCCATTTTGTGTTTCTGCAACCTGAATTTCATTTCAGTAGGTAGTAATGGAACTATGCATTGTATCGTTTAGCATGGCTGTCCCAGTAAGTGCTTTACTGAAAAATCTACTTTGCCTCTTCATCCAGCTTTTCACTGATTTGTCGGTTATGCTGGGCGACTCTTAGGTTAGGGCGACCTATCCCCAACCCCTTCCACTGGTCAGTAAAGTGGGCGAGGAAGCAAGCTAACAAGGGCGTGAATCTTTTCGCTGAGGACACAATTCAAGGTCTTTTAAGGGCGCATTTTGCAATTACCTGAAAGGTGTGTAAAAATGGCAGGCCCGCGACCGCCGAAGCTAGCTTTAGCCTTCCAAAATTGCCTGACAAGATTGCTGGGAGCACGTGACATGTGTCAGATCACGCCCTTTTTTCTGACCACGCCCTTTGTCATGCGTATTTCGTAGGAGGGTGACTCATAAGTCCAGTGGTAGTGAAAGCAGCTTTAGCCCTTAAATTGAGGATTGTGTTCAGTCCCTTCATGTCCTATGTATCATAAACAATATTATGGAGATAATCTGTGCTAATATTGTTTTTAGCTTTTTGTTGGTTCTGTTGATTCATTTATTTCATACAGAGCTGTTTTGTTCGGGTTTTTCAAGCAGAAGAGAATAAACTTTGTATTGATTGTGTTGGTGTTGAAAAATCGAGTTTATGCACTCCCGATGATATTTTTTGTAGGTGTTTTCATTTTCGCAATTCTTTCACCCTTCTCTTCCGAGCTGAAACATACCGAAATTGTCTGGCCGTTCTCAATGCAAAAAGGTAGCAGAAGAACGCGCTGATACTTTTCAGTCACACTAGATGAGAATACTTGAGTTGTCAAATTTTGTAGATAGATTTATAACCACCATAGGATATAATCGCGCGAGCGATTTTGTCGCGCTAATCAAGCGAACATATTAGTTGCTGTTAGACCGCGTTCATACATGGCGGCTGCGGTATTTCACCAATCTGAGAGATTGCGTAAGGCATTATTCACAGTCTGCGGCCCAGCGTTTTTCTAGAAAGAAACGCTCCGGCGAAAAGTTTCCGATATTTATCGATTGGTGGTTGGGTCGGCTGGCAGTTGAGCTGGTTTGGATACGAATTGACGTGCGTTTCGCGGGTATGTGACAAGAGGATCGTAATTCGCCGCGCTGCTGGGCGTCGCATGCGACGTCTCGTCTGCAAAGGATATTTCCAGGTAGTAGATGGCGACAACATGCAATTAAGGACCGAAAACAGTAATGACTGTCTACGATGACGGGGTCTACATGAAGTCCGGTGCTCCATTCGACAGGTTAAAACGAGTTATGAAAACGCCGCGCCCATCGCCGCGCGTGGCGGTGCGGCGAATTACGATCCTCTTTACCGTCTCCCACGTTTCGCGTCTCCCGCGTTTCGCCGAAGATGCGGCGTTTTTCGCCTTCGCGAAACGCTAGCTCAATCGCCCTGGTGTTTTTCGCCAGCGAAATCGATATCCATCTATTGCTTTTCGCCCAACCGCGGGGGTTCGGGAACGAGCGGTTGCCGATTCTCCGATCAATCTGTATTCTTTGCTTTTCGCCCAACCGCCGTTTCGTCAGGGTCGCAGACAGTGAACAATGCCTAAAGAGGAATGTACAAGTATTACATCAATTTGGAGATCCGGGAAAATTGGCGATCGGGCGTTCTGGCCTAGGCCCGCCTAGGCGTTTAAGACGATTGCGCGCTAGAGGAGTGGGTGGGTATCGATCGGATAGCCAAGTCTCCAGAATCGTCAGCGCCCAGTCCCAATCGATACCGGTCCCTCTCCTTCCGCGCGCAAATGCCCGAAACGCCCATCGACCTAAAGATCGGATCGTCGAGTCTCCCTAGTCGTTGATACCTGTGCTGTCGTCGTTGCGCAGTGTCTCGAATCGCCGAACGTTCCCGAAGCATGAACTTGACCTTGTCGCGCGGCCACTGCCGGTGACGGTGCACCAACGCACACCGAAGCGCGATAAACTCACGAAGTATGAGCCTACTCAAAGGAATTGAACGATTGGTTCAAATTTGCCAAGTCAGTGAATTTGGTATGGTAATTGGTTTGTACTTTACGAAGCAGCTCGAATTTCCTATCCTGGGGCCGTATGCCACTTCCCCTCAAGGGCAGATATCCTGCGGTGAATCTCTCCTCTGCATCCATACTCGTCTGGCGCACGCTCTGAAGGAATGTGATAAAGCGCAGAGCTCAGCCGACATACTCCCGTCTCCTCCAGCGCAACTCATTGAGGGAGATCCTGGTAGGGTGGAGAGAAAAGGTTCAGAGAGACAGAAGCAGAGGATATCGACAGAGGTAACGGCTGTGAGAGGGGGGGGGGTACTTTGTTGAATGTGTCCCCATGAAAGGAAGTCTAGCGTACGGCGTCGTAACTACGCGCTTAGAACCATGTAGCACGATAAATCCCCAAGATATGTAGAATTAATACGCCTAGCAGAACAGAATTCGGCGCCCCTGAGCAGGCGCAGTGCCGCTTCCCAATTAAGGTGTCCTTATAGGGCCCTGTCAGGCTGCAGCATGCCGACCCAGACGCCCACCGCGCCCGCCCGCCCACAAATGTCCGACCGATGCTGATGCTCGTATCGCTTCATTTGCGAAGTACAATATGAAGCAAAGGGACTGATATGAAGCAGATGTGGTGCTGTACTTGCACGGATATATGAGTACATACATGCAGCCTTATCTACCGTAGCGTTTGGCACGATGCCAACGGAAAACTCGTTCGAAAGTGCTTTCTGAAGCATGTAAAGCAAATGGTTTTTGCCGGTTTTTGACCGTTACATTTCGCTTTTTCGCCGTTTTCCCCCTACACAGCACCCTTGTTACCACTTTAGTCCGAGCATCAAATTATGGTACGTCAGGTTTTAGGTTTTGTATGTTTCAGCCCCGCCATGCGACGGCATATGGACCCGGATATTCGGTTATGTGCACTGTATGAGTTTAAACTGAGGCACAGTTATCGTGTGGCTTGCGACAATTTGATACGAGCATATGGTGCCGACGCGGTGTCCATACACACCGTTAAAAAGTGGTTTCGGAGGTTTCGAGCTGGCAACGAGAACACGAATCATACGCCACCGTCTTCAGTGGTGAATGATGTGGAATTGAAACGAATGATGGACGAAAATCCCGATATGGCAATGCGTGATCTGGCACGATACTTTGGCGTCACGTATCAGACGATCAAAACTCATATTACTTCGATTTCCGAAGGAAAGTTCAGGAAATACGCTGGAGATAAGCCGGTTAGTTCAATACTGCAGTTTCTGTATCGAAAGTTCCACGGACTCCCCGAGAAACTCGTCCTCTCTCTATCGTCAAAATTTAAAGATTTGTGTACATTTGACACATGGATAAGGTTTGTGTATTCTTGGCATATGGACCCAGTTCTTACGGGAATCCATCTCCAAGAAATTGTGTCTATCATTACATGTTGTACCGGTTTTCGTCCGTATTTCTTTGAGTTTTCAAGGACAGTGAAAGTGTAAGCGAATGGCTCTATCCAGGTTACGGCGCACGTTCAAGATACCATGCAGAGGAGGGGGGGGGTCGTATTAGACTTTGTGAGAAATGTTTTCGTTCGCTGAAAACAAGGGGGAGGTTGTTTTTTGCGAATTTTTTTCCTCAGGCGTGCCCTAGTTCTTCCAATGTAACGTCCACCTTAACGTATGAGGGAGATTGCCGTCTGTTGCGCGATCCATCACGCGCATATCTCCCGACTGTGAGAAATAAGAAATTTCACAAAAATATTTTCCTCCTTCTCCCCCCCCCCCCCTCCCCCCTTTCCCCTCAAATTCCCTTCTTCAATGCGCGCGGTCCAGCTGCGGGGATGGACACTTCCGATCCGAAATGGTAGTTTTGCTTCGACGACAGCCTAGCGCGGGGATCGTTTTTCTGTTGGGAAATTTCTACACAGTATTTTCCGTCCCAGCCCCTTGTCCCCCCTCACAATTCCCTTCTCAATGCGACGCGCTTTTCGTAGCGGCGGGGAGGACACCTCCGATCCGAAATGGTAGTTTTGCCTCGACGACAGCTTATGCTGGGGGGGGTCGGTTTGTAGTGAGCTGGAAACGCGAAAAATCAATAATAAGGAAAATTTTTCCGGGATGAAATGTGAACCTTTCTCCCCGCTCTTCTCCCCCCCCCCCCCACCCCGCCCAACGACCAAAATGTGAACGCTTCATCTGGGAATTTCACAGCGAGTGATGCGCCTTGTTCCTCAATGGCGCCCTCCCCTTGAGGGCCGCTTCTGTGACACGGGCCCAATGATAGGCCTCGCTCCGCTCATATGATCGCAAAACTGAACTGTGCTTTCAAATACATAAAAAACAGGCTCTTTCGCTTTGGGTATGCTTCGGATTTTGAGGGAGTGTGAAACCTAGCTTTTGGATGGACATAAGGTTTTGAGCGTGGATTTTTGTAGTATCAGTCTTTTGTGCTGAAAATCCGCTGTTTCTCTGCAGCACTTTTCAAGAGTCGAGCTGAAAATTGAGTTTTTCCGGCGCAGTAGAATGTTTTGCCTTTGTTTATCCAATGGCTCATGAAGTGAGTAGGCCCCGAGTGAAGAGTAGTTTCGCAGAGTTATGACACTATTCAGTAGTCCTCGAGCACTTTTTCGAGCTAATTTTGTCATTTTTTTGTAGAAAAACCGGTTCAACTTCACGGTTTTTGTTCAGTGTTAACAAAATTTTCTGCATTATTTCCCATCGGATTTTGGGGGCTACTGACGCTTTCGGCGGCACAATTCTTTCGGCGCGTTCGGCTGACTCGCTATTTAGCGAGTCATGACGAACGCGCCGAAAGAGGTGTTGCAAGCGAGTTGATGTGCACAACACTCGTGCTAGGACCCAATTAATTCAATGTGGCAGCGTTGTGGGAGCCGCCTTTTCTGTGACTATCTCTTACGATGACTATCTAGGAAACATATAATGCGGCTACTAGGAAAAACGCTACTCACCCGTTTCAAACACTTCCACGTCTTTTGATGAGCTAATTCGCAGATTTCAGTATAGCTCCGGCAACCTCCTAAGTGGCATAAACCATACTATACCGCAAATTCTACCATATATTCTGTTCATAATATATTTCAGAATCCCTACCGCAAGAGGAAAAAATTATCATCAGCGCGGAATGATGACATTGATAGTGGGTTTTCATTCTTTTCATGCTATTGCATTTCGGTATTCGTATTTCAACTCTACTGCCTACTCCACAGCGCCTTTCCTTTCTCCCTGAATAAGGTCTAGGGGCAGTTCAGCGACGGAGGGGGGGGGGGCATTTTCTAATGTGCTACTTCCCGTTGGCGTGTCGAGCCATCATGAGCTTACAGAGTTGACAGGCTCCATTGGAGGGCTTCCTCCAGCTTCACAAGTCCACGGGTTCACCAGAGTTGCTATGGACGCTTGCTGAAGACTTGTTATTTGAATAGGACTTCGTTAAACCGAAACCAGGTGCGAGCTACGAAACGGTGCCCCACCTTTCCCCCCCCCCCCGTCGTCGAACGCCGGCCGCATAAGTAAGTCCCACCTTATAAAATGCGTTATTTCTCCTTGATCGGTGATGGGGGAAGACCAGAGCAAAGATCAAGATTACTCAATTTCAAGGCTAAGGGCACGGTGGCGAAACGGGGAAGATTGACCGACCTCTTTTGATCATGCCCCGCCCGGTTGAAATTTTATTCCATACGAAATTTTATAGAATTATCATAAAGTTATCGTATGAATGAATTAATACGAAGTCGTGCAGTAAGAATTACCTCACGAAAGGCCATGATCTTCCATAAAAGTCGAATCGCCACTACCGTGCACGCAGTAGACCTCATTAGAAAGCCCCCTTTTTTCGAGGCAAACAATTTACACTTGCATTCACACACATTGTAATCTTCAAATTCTGTTTACACTAGTTTTCATCTCACAACATTCGCTACATCACGGCATGTACCATTATTGGACGGGCGTATTCAATATGAGGACACTTGGACTGCGCCCCCGGACGACTTCGCCGCGTAATTAGCAGAGAATTAATTGCAAAATTTCGCCGCTTTATGACCTTTATTCGGGAATTCTTGTCAGTCATTCTTTTCAGTGACTTACTTAGTGGGCCTCGCCCCGGCTAACGCTGGCGCGTCTCCTTCTGCATACGCGTCCCAGCCTGCCGCCCGGGCGGGCGCGGCTTTGCCGCGCGTATTTTCTTTCACATATTTCTAGACTCAACTGATATCCGCCTTTTGTTCTGTACTCCACTTTTTTCCGGTGTCTGAAGTACTCTTGAGCTATTTACAGACTCTCGTCTGACTTCCGCCCACCCTCAGAGCTGACCCGCCCATATTTATTGTGGCCCCACAATCTTCCACATGACGACTCTGCTGACCCTTACCCCGCTTTTTCCGCGTGTCTGGGAAGCCGCTGTGAAAGTGTTTCACAGATTCTTTCCGTCTGACTCCGCCCACCTCAGAGCAGACCCCGCCCACAATTTTTGTGCCCCAAAATTTCACCGACGGACCCTCTGCTGACCTTAATCCCGCTTTTTTTTCCGGTCTTTGAAGTGCTCTGGGACAGTTTTAGAGAATTTTCGTCTGGCTTCGCCCTCAATATGTATGCCCCCACATTTTCTCAATTGGCGACCCATGCTGACCTGAATTCACTTTATTGCGGTCTTCGGAGTGCTCTGGAACCGTTTTTAGGAGTTTTCGTCTGGCTTCGCCCTCCCAATATGTATGCCCCACACTTTCTCAATTGGCCGACCCCCAGTGCTGACGTGAATTTCACTTTATTGCGGTCTTCGGGAGTGCTCACCGTTTTACAACTTTTTGTCTGGCTCCGCCCACCTCGGAGCAGGCTCCGCCCACAATGTTTTTGCCCCACAATCCTCACCGGCGACCCTCTGCTGACCTTAGTCCACTTTTTTTCCGGTGTCTGGAGTGTTCTGGAACCGAGCTACAAACTTTTGAAATGGAAATATGAATGCGTGCACCAAGCGTTGACTCAATCTGTATGCAACATGATGGAATGGGCTACCGCTTGGGGTATACCTGTAAATTTTACGAAAACATGTGTACTTCATTTGGGAGAAGCCAGGCATGCACCATACACCGTCAACGGTATTTCTCTCAGTACTTCAAATGAAGTTCGAGACCTTGGTTTTCTCATAAATTCTGATCTCGATTTTTCACATCATATTGATGCTGTTGTCAGGAAGGCTTTCGCCGCTCTCTTCGTAATATTCAGAAACATTCGACTAAATGATCCCTCGGTTCTGTTGAAGCTCTATAAAGCAAAGCATAACGTGGTCCCCATACTTGAGTATGGCTCGCAGATATGGAGCCCTCATTCCAAAAAATTTCAGGCAAAAGTTGAGAAGGTCCAGCAAACTTTCACTAGAATTTTAATGTACCGATGTCATCCCAACCCGACATATCCGCGAGGTTTACCCAGCTATAAGGAACGCCTCAAGCTTTTCAACCTTAAGTCATTACTATATAGACGAATGTTCAATGATATTTTGTTCTGCTTTAAGTTACTGAAAGGAGATTTAAGATTGACGCCTAGTAAGTATTGGACTTTTAGACCAAGTAGGGGCCGCATTTCTTCACTGTCATTGCAATGTCCTAACTTAGGCAGGACTCAGCGATCCAAAGTTTTCAATTCACTTTTTTTCCGTGGAAGCCCAAGGGGGCCCTTCCAAGTCGCTTGCCATCTCAGAACTGCAGAAGCGCAAGTACCTTTGATTTTAAGAGGAAACTTAAGGAAGTTGAACATTTCCCGATATTGATGGCATATCAAGATTTTTGAAAGTTTAGGGTCTGGACGGTCTCCGCTTGTGAGTATTTGTGTTGCCAAGTTTATTGATGTTCTGGTTATTTTTCTTTGTGTCGATTTGTTTTGTAACTTATCTGTTTCGCTCATAATGTAGCGCACCCGTGTGTGCATGATAAATAAATAAATAAATAAATAAATAAATAAATACCCCGTGGAATTTATAGGGCAAGCGCCGCCTCACTCGTTGCGGCGAGTCTCAGCACACCTTTGAGCCGTGCCCTAATATGCCAGATATTTGGCATTCTACACTGGAATTTGCGACTTCCAATGCACTCTCGGAAAACCGGGGCTTACTGAATTTTGCAGAGAAGTTACGCCCACTCGAGTACCGCCATCCATTATGTATGTGTCTGCGCAGTTAGTCTGGCGACTCACTTACTAACCTTAAAAGACACATGCCGTACGCTGAACACATGAGGGTGTATGAAGACTATCAGCCCCCCCCCCCCCCCCCAGCTGTCGACTGTGTCGTAGGTCCCCCGCGGCCCACAAAACTTGCACGTCGGTCGGGGTACGGCCGTGGGAAATTCGTAATTCCTTGCTACACCGCCCTCACGTTTATGCTAACACCATCCGCGCGGCGCGGTCGCGTGCAGCTCTCTTGGCTTTTTGCCAAGTCCTGTAATTGCGCTTTGGATACAAGTACAACGCCATCCTTTATTGCCGGGGATAACATTTACGGTGGCCTGCCAAAATAAGAACCGAGATGATGGACGAGCGCCTAGAAACTCAAGAGCGCCAACTGGTGCCGTGCTTCCTGCCAATACTCCCTCCAGCAGGCCCTCTCACAGAACAATGCTTCAAAGTCCGAATAGAAGGTGATGAAGATGACAAACGGCTAGAAATGAACAACAACGAATGTAGATGTAAATAAAACGAAATGAAAAAAACTAGGAAACACAAATAATTTTGCGAATCAAAGTAAAATGGGACCACGACACACCGACAGCTGGGGGGGGGGGGGCTGATAGTCGTCATACACCCTCCAATGCTGTTTGAGCGTACCATGTGTCTTCGATCCCTTTTTGCCCCTATTCTTTAGCTGCTCCGAGAAAACAATTATGAACATTTGGCCGAAACCCCAAACTTTCGCGACTGCCCCCGCCCACTGAGGCGCCGCGGGGCTTCCTATAGGCTCAAGTGTGCTTTTTATTTCTTGTCCCATGCTCTACCCATCCCCACCTTGACCCGACCTCTCCAAGTCGTTCTTCAGGTCGAACCGAATTTCCGGACAGACAAACAAACTTACAAACAAACAAACAAACAAACAAAAAACAAACAAACAGACGAAGCGAATTATATATATGGGCGGTGATTGGGGGGGTGACAATATATACATTTTAACAACCTGATCTACATTGGTTAGAGGGGAAGGGCTGTTGGTGGACCTCCCCCCAAGTGACCGCGGTGATTCTGAACGGGAACATGTGGATTTGCATATAGTTTTTTGCTTTTTGTTTGTATTTGGCCTTACCCGCTATAGTATCTTATTGCTTTTTAGGCATCCCTGAAGAGATGCTGGCACCGAAGACGGAAGGTGATGCCATCTCAGAAAATGAGGAATTGATTTGTAATAAAAAAGATGAGGATTCAGAATGCATAACATATTTTTTATAGCGGCCAACATCCTTAGGTAAATTACCAAAAGACCTTTTATCCCTTTTGATGTTCAAGGATTGCCGGAACAATAACGTCCTACATTTGAAGGGGCGTGGTCAAAATTCGCCCAAGGAGAAGGTGTTGAAACCCATAAACAACTAGGGACAGGACCCATCCCCCTCCCTTTGGAAGCAATCAGATACTGTTTCCTTGTATTTTTGAAAACACTTGATGATTTCTACCGCTTGTACGAGCAATTTTTGCTCTGTTTCTTTTTTCGCTCCTTTTGTTGTATGAGGCCCACAATTTCAAGTCTGAACCGCGTGCTTTTGTGCATAGCCTATGTGACAATCTTCTACTTTCCGATACGGCTATAGTTGCTACTCATAATTAGTGTTTATGTGTTAACAAAGGATTATTAGAACAAGAGCTGGTTGGAGGGGCCGTTGTTTGGCGAGCCAAGCATGACCTTTTGCTCGCCTACGTTCCTAACCGTTATTGAGTCCAGGTCTTTTGAAGCGCAGGCCCCGTTCGAAACGAGGGCCATATGGTCATTACGTTGCCATGCCCCCGTCCGCGCACGTTGTCCCGACGAGGGGCATTTTGCTTGCCGTAGCATGTGGGGACCCCATCTAAGTAGCCCGTTCTTTCGAGTTGACCCACGCTTTCAGGATAGTGGACTAGACAATCTTACTTCAGCTTCACAAGAGTTCACAAGTTTTACCAGAGTG